TCGCCTCGGTTTTTGATCATCATTTTCCAACCTTCTTGGTTTCATGTAGTTTATTTGGATTTTTAACCCTCGACGCAAAACGAGGAGTTATAAGTTTGAAGCTTTTGTTTTGGTAAGGGAGAGTTGGCGCTGGTATAGTTTGAATCTATTTATTTAAATCAGTCATCTGACGTGATCCTATGACATGATGGTGTTTGGCAGAATTGCCATATGAAAATAATAAGTGACGTGGACGACCAATGCTTAATAAACGAGCGCGGATTGACAAGTGAGGTTTCGGTGTAAGTTGCTTGGAAAGTGAACACGTAAGCGCGGCCGAATTTGCCGCGTGACATAATTTAAACTCCGCTTTAATTAACCTGATCCATCTTTTGTACGTTTACGTTGTACGTACGGCGTGTTGATTGCATTAGTGCAAGTTAATGTCTCAGCATAAACTTAAAAAAGACGAAGGTCATGGTAGTTAGCAGATCATAATATCTTACAACAAAAGTTCTAGTTGTATGATATCGAGTAGTCTAAAGAGTTTATTCTTACAAATACCTTGGCTGCATCGTAAACATCGTGTATATAACCAGAAATATAGACGAAATAAAGTGCCGTCCATCCCTGGCACTTCATCAGGTAAATGGGCCTTATATCACTTTTAAATATCAACTTTTGCTTGTACTGAACTCACAAATTTAGAAAACTGAAATGGTACAGCGCCAACAACTGACCTGTGTGTGTACGTCTTTTTACTTTCCAAAAATATTATGTATTTATTGTAATAAAGATTATATCCCTAACTATGGGGGAACTCAAAATACGAGTAAGTGCTTAGAAGCCTTTGACATGTGGGTCTACAGAAGAATTTTAAAAATATCGTTGACGGATAGAATATCCAATGAAAGAGTATTGCAGATAGGGTATAAGAAATTAGAGATCATGCGTACTGTCAAAAAACGCAAACTAGAGTACTTTGGTCATATAAGAATAAAAGCAGATTCAAACCAGCTAACAACCTGAGAAAAATAAAAAAAAGTACGTGGAATTACATATAATTACTAAGTTTTATTGAAACCGGTTACCGGAAAGTGCGCAAACCCGGATATCCCCTAGTTCGCCACTATACGGGACTTTACACAGGAGATAATAAAAATCGGTTCTCACTACTCAAAGTATATTGAGAGAAAAACGCCTTCAATTAAAGAATAGCAAAATCAACCATTAAAATAAATGCTCATTATACTAAAATTTAAGCGCTATTTATTATAAAAATGAATCTTCATACGTGAACAGCCACCCTTAGAGGTGGATGATTTTGGTTCACAAATACCGAAGTTATCGCGTAACATACATACAAAAAAAACATAGAGTCGAATTGAAAACCTTCTCCTTGTTTGAAGTCGGTTAAAAAATATTTTAAAAACAAAATTCCATTTATACAAACACATGCAAAATTAAATTAAATTACCTTATTCAATTCATTTATTCATTACTTAGGTAATTAAATTACTAGTCCACGTTACTCACGCCACCTGGGTGATGTCGTCCCTCCAGTGTCGACGCGCCCGCCCTCGCGGCCTACGGTTCAGTCGTGGGTACCAGTGAAGCACCCTCTCGCTCCATCTGCTGTCGGCAGGCCTGGTTAGATGTCCAGCCCATCGCTATTTCAGACGACAAGCCATTTTTGCCGCGTCTATTATCTTTGATTATCTTCGATATCGGCACCAGTTATTCTGTCTTTTATTTTTATGCCTAACATGTTTCTTTCCACAGCTCTCTGGACGACTTGGATTTTGTATATTATTTGTTTTGTTATCGGCCACGTTTGACAGCTATAGAGCAAAGTACGTGTCACGATTGAGTCCATTGCTTTCTTTTTAAGGTCATGTAATGGTCATACAATGCGTAATGATAAATACGACCTCCGACTTCGACAAATTATGCAAGGGAAAATACAGGGAAAACGACCACCTGGCAGAACGCGTACTTCGTGGCTTGAGAATCTCCGGACATGGTTCAACCTGAGCACAAGATCCTTGTTCCATGCAGCAGTGTTTAAAATACAGATAACCCTAATTATAGTCGACCTCCGGTAGGAGATGATACCTCAAGAAGAAGATCTTTTGTACTTTCGAACTAATTACTGTGAAAAATGGACAAAACAATTAATTGCAATCAACTGACGTTATTATTTCTACGCGGCTGAAAGAATTGATAACGAAGAATGAATAAGCCAATTATCAAATAATTCTTGACTAAATCAGCGACGAGGGCGTCTCCCTCAACCTCTTCCTTACGGACATATTTAAAGAATGTAAAGGCCTAGTTTCGCATATTGAACATGGAAGCATACGCTACGTGCGAATTGAAAGGACATCTATAGTACAAATTCCTAGCCGCCGTTTGTTAACCGGGTCGGATTAGGTTACGTATCATTTGGGATACAAAAGCATTTTGTTATAGCAGGTTATAGCGATAAAAAACAATTCGTATCATTTAAGATACAAAAGTATTTTGTTGTAGAGATAAAAAAACAAAATGTGTCATTTAGGATACAAAAGTATTTTGTTGTAAAAATTAGAAACAAAACATGTTTTACGGGATACAAAACATTTTGTCGTAGCGATAAAAAAATTATGTATCATTTACGATACAAAAGTATTTTGTTGTTGCGATAAAAAAACAATACGTGTCATTTAAAGTGACACGTATTTAACTGCCTCTGTGGCCGGATGCTTACCATTCTGCCATGCAGAGGTCCCGGGTTGGAAGCTATATTTGTATGGCCTACATTTATTTTTCTCGTGACTTTAGGTGTAATTTGTGATTATCTATTTTGTATCCAGGGCACATGATACAGGAATTCCCTAGTACCGGGCTATGAGTGTGTGCGTTATTATTATTATTATTTGGGATACAAAAGCATTTTGTTGTAGCGATTAAAAACAATGCATACCGTTTAGGTTAAAAAAAACAATATACAGTATTTAGGATACAAAAATATTTTGTTGTAGTGATAATAATATAATGCGTTAGCCGAGAATCGAACTCTGATCAACGGCTTGGAAGGTAACTTTGCTAAAGCCGGATTTGTATTTGTCTGACGTGTCGTGTGGTGTCGCGGCAGAACGGTATCGGTTTCATACATTTATTAGTGTGTCGCAATTTGACGTGACGTGAAAACCGATTCCGTTCTGACGCGTCACGACATGACACGTCAGACAAATGTAAATTCGGCTCCATTACACCACTAGCGCCTGTGGCGCAGACATATCCTGTTCACATCGCAATCATGTATTGTTTATTAGATAAAGATTCATTTCCATCTAAAAGTAAAGACAAATCAAATAAAATCAGCTTTAAAACGAAACTAGCAACTCTTAATGTAATTAATTAAACAAGACGTCATCTAAAAAGGTCCTCCTTTAGTATAAATGCTTGTCACGCCAGAGACGCCACTCGTAATTTCAGGATAAGTCTTCTGGTTTAATTATTTTGCTTTAGCAAATATAAAAGTTCTTTGCTTGCGGTTTTCTATTAGATACAATTTGGAATACAAATGTAGAAGCGAAACTCTTCGTGGGAATCCGGGTAATATCCACAACATAGGGGTGGAACCCCCGTCTAGTCTCTCGATAATGGAAAGGGCAAGGCGGAATCAGATATTAAGTTTAAGAGATAGGTGACAATAAGTTTACAATTTATAAAGGCTATAGAGCGTCTCTATGAATGTCATAAAATGACATAATAAATGTCGTAGAATGACATAATAAATGTCTTAGAATGACATAATAAATGCGATCATAGGGTGGAGCTCAAGTGTCGGATAGAACAAGCGCGTAACGCATTTCTAAAGTTGAGCCATCTACTCTGCAATCGATCCTTGAAGATTTGTACCTGGGGGCCTACCATAACCTTATCAAAAACAATCTTATTTCAATGTAAGCTTAGAGTAAGCTTATTGTAATATTACTCATATTCGTACCATAACGAATCTATCAACTAAGTAATGTATTATTGCAAAAGTGATTGAAAGAACAAATGATCTCCCAATATTCTCTATTCCTTACTAAAAATAGGAACGAGATAACGCTATGTGAACTGTATAATGCCATATCTTTCTTTTTTGATGTTCCGAATCGTCTTATTATAGTATAATGTTTAAGATTTACCGTTATTCACATTCAGACTATTTTCATTGTGAAGAAAAGAAAAGTATGTAATAATAAAATCTATTAAAATTACGTTGTTTTCAATAATTATTCCCCATTTGCATGAAGAAAAATAAATAAAACAAGCTGAGTCTTGATAGTCACGTTGTGAGTTCGGAGCTATAGTCTAGTGTCAACTGTTAGTTTCGCCAAGGAGCATATAGATGGCGCCGTTACAGTTTTACGAAATAAACATGGCGTATTTTTATTTAGAAAAATTATTTACTGTGTTCTATTAAACAAAAAATAGACAAAATATTGAAGAGATATATGTATGTAAATAACTAAGGTCAAATTAAATTTTAATCATTAGAAATCAACATTAGGACAATAAAACTGAAATAGTACATTATGATACAAGTGTGCTAAGTTGGTCATTACACACGAGGCGTTATTACTCGCGCGAGCCGCAGGCGAGCGCGATAAGAAAGCCGAGAGTGTAATGATCAAAGCACACGTGTTTCATACGACGTTTTTCAACACATTTGCGAGGAAAATGAAACAAACTTGAGTAAAATGGAAATGAAAAATAGCTTTATTTGGCATTAATTATACAGATACACTGAATACTATATTAAGCTCACGTTAATGTAAATAATATTATTCTATTCTATACTATATCTATCAATAGCAATTAATTAAGAGTCTCCAAAGCCTATCAAAGTCATTGTATCTTGATTTTATCAAAAATGTAGTTATTTAAATTTAATTATTAAAACAATTGTTAAATGTACAATTTTCAAAATGGTAACGTGCAGTTTTGTTAGGCATTTGAACCGTCTGTGTGATATTATTTGTTACTATTTCATTATTGTCTTCTTGCGTAAAAGTCGGTGATACGGGTTCATTGTGTACAAATATGGATGAAAGTGGTGGTGGTTCATTTAAAGACTCAGAAATAGACAACCTAGGTAACAAATAACTTGTATCACGGGAGGTGGATGGCTGCGGTTCAGGACACATCTTCTTAACCTGGGGCTCCAGATTTATAGCGTGGGTTATTTGAGTACATATGTTGGACTTATTTCGAACTGAATCTTCAACATAAGACTCAGCAACTGTGCTAGATCGCCAGCCACCATGACGCTTTAAAGTAAGCAAATCAGCTCCCGAGTCAGCTAGCAATGTAGCTGATGTTCTTCGGAAACTATGCCCAGTGTATAAATCCGGGTCGGGTAGATTTAAAAACTTGGCAATTTCTTTAGGCATTGCACCAAATTTATTAATGCCTATTGGCTGAGCCACGCATCTACCCTTCTGGTAGTTTTGAAAAAACCGATCGGATTTTGCCTTATCTGTCCTAAGCGCTTCGTACTTTTTTACTATGTCGTAAAATGGACCGTGAATGGCAAACGATCTCGGTACCTTATTTTTAGTGTTGTTAATTTTAATCACAAGCATTTGGCCATGAGTTTCTACGTCTTTTGCCGTTACTTCGCTTAGTTCTTGGCGTCTACACGCGCCAGTGACACCAAATATCATTGCAACCTGTAAAGAAATTAAAAATATAGGTATTTTCGCAAATATAATACAAGAAAAATGAAAACATAAAAAAATTAAGGTTTAATACGATCAACTGACCTTTGTTGCTAAATACTGATAATCGGGGGCTTCTTTTAAAAACTTTTCGACGTCAGTTGGCGAAAGTACCTTCGATTTTCTTGCAACATACCCATCAGAGCGTCTCTTTAAAAATGCCGTCAGATTTGAATAGTTTTTTATGTCTATGTTATTCTTGTTCTTTACTGTGGTCTTTAACATAGAATAAATGCACCAGAGCGAGCTGGGCTTAAACCTATTCGCCAGTTCATTAAAATAGGCAAGAAAAACATTTTCTGAAAACGAAGACGCTTTTTTGTTGGTTTTCCATTGTATAAAAGTTTCATATGCAGCCATGTATTTTTCTCTGGATTTCGAAGGTAATAAACTGTCACTTGCGTTTTGTGCCTCTGTGAGGATTTCGGGCGGTGTTAAATCCATCAAAATGTTTTCTTCCGTGCTTGAGCAGGACATTTTAAACACCTAGGTAATTATCTAACACACAGCGTATATAAATGTTTCGAACGTATCAATGGAAATTGGCGCGCAGAGTTATTTTTTCTGCGCCGCGGCGCGGATATGCGCGCGCAGGTGCTTCGGCAATAATGAGACTTAGGTGAAATTCCTAAACAGCCAATGCGAAATAATATAAATATGTCCTTATTTCACTCAAATTCGTGTAAAATATTATCCAAAATAAGTAATTTTATTCAATTAAAGTTTTATAGGTGTATATTGTGTACGTTTTTCTATATTTATCACATCAAATAAGAAATATAAATTTATTAATAAAAATATTATTTGTAAGGTAAGACTACACAACCGTATTAAACAGAAATAATAAAAAAAACTGTGACCCTGTTTGTTTGGGATTACTGTCATTGTAATTTGAATCGTATAATATGTAGGTTAGAGCTGTTTTTTTAATAGACCAAGTTAATTTCAAAGACATAACCCGGATAATTTAAGAATGCATAGTTTTAATACATAGGCCTTGTTGTGAGATACATCTTAATCCGGTTAAGCCTATACTTATTACACACACGTTTTGTAATATAATTACAAACGCGTGTTCAATAGCTAGGTTTATGAGCCTAAAAGCGATACAATAAGAAGCCCGTTACGAGCAAATGTGTTGAAAATAATATTGTTTCCATTGCATCCGTGTAACTATTTTAAGATTGCTAAATTTGACATAAGAGCAATATTACTTTAATGTCAAAGTCGCGTCATGGTACGAACTGAGTGAACGAATAATCACAAAGCTGCCAAAAAGTCAATGTAGGGTTAAAGTAATATTGTTTTATCAGGTTGCGGTAGGCCCCCAGGGCGCGTTTGGCACGTTGTTACGTGTTTTCGGTGCTTCTGTATGACGTAGAGTCCTGGACCTTAACTCAAAATATTAGTAACCGCTTAGAAGCATTCGAAATGTGGGTATACAGAAAGTTTTTGAAAATATCGTGGACGGATAGAGCGTCTCATGAATGAGTATTGCAGATGGTGAATAAGAAATTAGAGGTCTTGAGTGCTGTCAAAAAACGCAAGCTACAGTGCTTTGGTCCTAAAATGCGTAATGATAAAAACGACCTGCTCCGATTAATTATGCAAGGAAAAATCCAAAAACGACCATCTGGAAGAAGGCGTACTTCGTCGCTTAAGAATCTTCGCACATGGTGCAACCTGGGCACAAGATTCTTGTTCCCTTCTGCTGTATCTAAAATACAGAAAACCCTAATGATCACCGACCTCCGGTAGGAGATGGTACCTCAAGAAGAAGAAGATGAATGTCATATTAATAAATGTATGGAAACGTTTGACGTTAAAATGTTGGATATATCTAGTTTTATTTAAAAAAAATATTGATGTCGTTTTGCTCATTCGGTAACGCCAAATACCAGTTAACCCCTTAATATAGCAAAAGTATTTATGGATTGGCCTTCAAGACTTTCAAACCATAACCGGAAATAAATTTTCTCACGATGTCATTTGTTCGATGTTCTTTAAACTTCAAAAGTAATAATTATTCATGGAAACCGTACAATACAATTTAATTAAGATTAATTTTAAAAACAATTACTCAGACATTCCTATCAAGACAAATAACATCGTCGAGAGAGAATAATATTATTCCATTTGCGGCGCGTGGTTCGATGACAGTTGCAAACCGCTGTTCAAAAGGCTGAACATATTACCTTTGCCATGCATGTACATTAGGGATATCTGCGTATTTGTTAACTCTCATCCTAAATATTTTAAAACACGTGGTGAAGTCATTCAAAGGCTAACTAGAGCAAAAATTATGAATCTCTTATACCAACCTCGCCATAAAGTAATTTATAAGAATAACTGCTTCAACATGTGTATAATTATTTACAATAAATTACCAAACGAAATTAAATTGTTACAAGGACATACTTTTAAATTAAAATTGACAAAATGACTTTTGACACATTGCTTCTATAGTAATAAAGAATACTTAGAATTTACAAATGCATTACATTAATTAGAAACTATAGAGACTAAAGAAACATTGAATCCCATTAATATTTGCACATCTGCTTGCAGGTTGAATACAATGTACTTAATTTTACTTAAGACCTATGTAATTACTGTATTCTGGCAAATAAACGTATTCTATTCTATTCTATTCTATTCTATTCCAAACAGCACTAAAGCCATTTACGCAGATGGCGGTTATTCCAATCGTTTTCAACTTGATAGTAGGAACCGATTTAGGAGTCGAGAAAGTCGGTCTCAACTGCCAGATTGGCATTTGAAAACAATTCGATTACATGTTTTCCGTTTTATTATAAGCGTGTGAATGGAAATGAAATTAGTTTTTCTGATCTGAAACGCGTACGCGACATTAGTTTTTTCGGTCGAAACTACGTTTCACCTCTCATTACTACCAACAGTCTCCCTAATAATATTAAATTAAATTCAGAGACACTGCTGCTGCGCCTGTCACTCTGAGACATAACTTGAAATTTGCCTGTAATTTCGCCAGCACGTTCCGGGTTTAAAGGGAAAGCCCTTTAAAACCGAAACGCAGTAACGCTCACATTACTGCTTGGCGGCAGAAATAGATAAGGTAGCAGTACTATCCTTGACGAACTCTTTCACAAAGAGCTCTACTGCTAGTAAAAATAATTTCAATATTTTTAATAAAAAAAAAGACCTCAAAAGGTCGTGGAATTACATCTTCTTGGCAAGTTTTATTAAAATCTGTTACCGGAAAGGGCGTGAAACCGGATTCATCTCCTAGTTTACCACCCTTGAAGGTGGAGTATTTTCTTCAAATGTTAATGGGACTAATCCTGGGGTACCTCTTCCCAATAAAAGTCATCAAAATCGGTCCTCAAATGCCGGAGAAATCGCATACACACGACGAAAACAAAGTGATGATAGGTACCTTTGCTACGGATTTCTGTGAATGGATTTTCCTTCCAAAAAGATTATTATTTCAGAATTCTAAAAGTGTCGTTATCGACACGTTGTACTCCCTTTTCTAGACATGGGTCTCCTCTAAGGAGAAAGTTTAGTAATAGTCCTCAACGCTAACCCGATTAGAGAACTTTTCAATTTCTAAATTAATGTACTTGTGAACTAGCGATATCACTCGCTAAAAATAAAACCTGAACACCAAAAGGTTTACAACTCCTGAAAAAGTGTGAAGTCGCCAACCTGCATTGGGTCAGTGTGTGTACTATGGCCTAAACACTTTTCTTAGGGAAGATAGTACCCACTAGTGGAATGCACATTTCATACTTATGTGACCATACGTCGAAAGCGCTTTTAACATATGAATAATCATAAAAATAAAAACAAATGTATTAATGAAATCGTTTAAGTATATATTATTTTTTTCTTCCATACAACTTGGGCCCAAATATGTAGGTACCTACCATCACATATTTTTGAATAAAAACTTACGGCATTTCATAAAAAAAATTGAATTTATTAATCACTTATACCACTCCAAATTGTCATTCGAACACATAAATAACTGGCAACATAATAATTATACATGGCAATGTCTATTCTTCAAATGGTATGTATCCAGCTACCGGAAATATTTAAAAAAATAGGACTAATGGTCTTACTTATTGTCCATTACTTCTTCTACAATTTATTCATTTCCAGTCCATTATTATATTATCACAATATCTAATAAAGTTGGCTAAAAACAGCTAAAAGACTATATCCAGAGCTGTTAAACTATTTAAATGTCACTTATTGACATGGTCGACATATCAAAGTCAGAATCATTTTTATTCCTGTGTTTAGTTCGATTCGTTTCTCTGGGGTATTTATTACTATTGTATTTTTGATATATTCACCATTGACTGTTGGCTATTCTATATTATATATTTGGACATTCTTTCGATCGAACCTAATTATCAGCTACAATGACAGCTGTCAAATTACGACAATACACGTTTCGTCGAACGCAGTATCGTTTATTCTTATAGTTGTCGAATTACATTTTTCAGCAAATTCTGCAATTAAGTTGTAGCTCGGTACACAATTGGGCCAAAAAATGAAGGCATCTTTGTATAACTCTCCTTTTTAAGCATAAAAAGTTACTTACTAATTTCGTGGTAGAATCTTAATTCTAATTACATCAAGAGAAATGCGTTCCAAAGCCTCTGATCTTGAAAAAGTATTTCGTTATATGAAATTCATGTCTTATAATACGATATAATGTAGATTACTATAGTATTATTCATAACTTACTCGCCCCAATTTTATCCCAAATACATCAATATACCAAAATAACATGGTGTCATATTTTTAATGCAAATATTAAAACGAAGCTTCGTAACAGATGTCGTCGATGCTCATAAATGAATAACGCCGTTCGATGGATTTATCGAGGGACAGTTAAGTGCCCTGCACTGCGCCATGTCGCTCGATAGCTATAACTAGTGATGGGATGGGTTTATGAATAGAAAGTCGATAGTTGTTCGAATCACTGTACTTTATTGGCAATATCTCCTGCACCTCGTGTGATTAAACTTGCATGTCGAAGAAGATTCGGATGTATGGTAGTCTCCCAGTTAGAGAAGAGCCGTATTCAGCAGTGGGACGTGTAAATTAATGGTTGGTAATGTTAAAAGATGATGATCTGCCAGTTATTTATTTTAAAAAAATGTTGTTAAACAGGTGTGGTGGTTGATAATTTAATATTACACTTACTTTGAAATTTTGATACAAT